TATCAAACCAAGCCTAAATATGGTTAAAAACATAATAATTTTGTATAATTTTAAAATTTTGTTTAACCATATATATTTTTCATGAATCTTTTTCATTTGGTACCTTATCTAAAATATAATTTAATTATTATTAATTAATTTTAATTAATTTGCATATATTTTATTAATTTTAGAAAATAATATAGTTACAACATTATATTACATTATAAATTTACAACATAATATATTTTATTAACTCTTTTCACTTAAATGTATTATATGCATTCATTTATTCAATAACATGTCACACATTTAATGCCACATAATAATTATAAATTTATAATCTTATATAATATTATAACTATAATATTGTTAATTAATTTTAATTAACATTTTACATATTTTTAAAATAATAAAAGACAAAGCTTATAACTACAATATTATACAACATATTACAAACAAATAATGCCTAACACTTTAAGATGTGATGAAAAAAAAAAAGAAAAACACTTCAGGATGTGAATGTGATAATAATTCATGTACCTCTAGTTTTAGTTGATTGATTATGGGAAAATAAATTGTTACTTTTTTAATTAATCAAGTGGATAAATCATGTAAGATTTTTGTTTACAATTTTTCTTTACATAACATAATTAAAAAAGAAAGGAGAAGAGGGAAACCATCACACTTAACGTCCAAGATATTGTCGTGAGATGGGAGTTAGAAACGGTGTTAGCGTGGTGTTAGGGGAGGGAGGTAAATGTTATGAAAAGTTAAAGTGTTATGAAAAGTTAAAGTAGAGGGAGGACTATAGTATGGTTTGGAAAAGTAGAGGGAGGACTTTGAACGAAATGTAAGGATAAGGAGGTTAATGAACGAAAATTGAAAGTATAGGGACTACAGTTGGCTTTAACCCTTTTCCAGTGAGAAGATTTTTACTTGAAAAAGGAAAAGAAAAGGGAGAAAAATGCCAACCTTTGCTTTGACGTGATTTGATTAGGGTTTTGATTTTTTTTTTCCTTTATTTATTTTTGCCAAGAGAGAAATGCTGAAAGATATATATATATATGGAAAAGACGTAAAAATATATATAGAAAAGAATCTCATCATATCTACTGTTGTTTTTAAAACGGAGTCCTTAGATTTTCCTTTTTCATTTTTTTCTCCCGAAGTGTTTGCGGTTTTACCGTATGTTATACTATATTACGAAATAATTAATGCTAACACAACTTTTGTCCCTCAACTTTAAAAAATTTTTTAATTATAAAAAAATATATTTTTTAAATATTTTATTAATTAATTTATTAAATATGTATATTTTTAATTTTTAAGTTTTTAAATTGAGAAACAAAAAAAAATTATTATAAATTAAAGAATTAAAAATATATATATTTAAATAAATTTAACGAATTAATTAATAAAATAGTTAAATAAGTAAATTTTTTATAATTAAAAGACTAAAAAATACGTAAAAAATTTAAAAAAAATGCAAAACTCTAAAATTAAGAAACTAAAATTACTATTTACCCTTTTTTAAATGCAATGTTTAGACTTTTTATTGAGAAAAATAAAAATCAATGACTCTTAACATAATTATATTTATACAATTTTTTTTATTAAGGTTACACTAAATATATTTATTTAATAGTTAGAAACATTTGATAGTTTTATTTATTAGTTAATAAAATAATTAATATCTTTAAGGATAATGATAAGTTTAGCATATTAATTCAAATCTTAGGCAAGATACTTGAAGGTTTATAATCACATTTAATCAAATTAAAAATTATAAATAAATTATCAGCTCATATGATACAAATATGTTCTTGAGGAAATTAAAAAACTCACAGAGATTTCACACACACAAAATCCTCCAAAATTTACTTGTGATGCCTCAATTATGTTTTCTAGAGAAGCGATGGTTTCTCTTCCCACTATTTCTCATTATTTTTCTTATAGAAAATTGAGGTCCCTTATCAACAAATCAATAGGTCTTATGTAGAGGGAGTTTGTAGAATTTAATAGTGTTGGGGAGTTGATGAGTCAACAGTGATAATGACATGGAACCTGAGTAGGATGCCCTTTATGGGATATAAGGAAGGTCCTTTTGGCTTGCACCCATTTCACGTGCGAAAGGTTACATGCCATCGGGCATCTCCCTTCATTTAGCAAAAATGAGCAGCACAAGGTTCTTTAGCAAAGTTTGTTTGAGAATAAAGCTTCCCCAGTTAGGCTAATGCCTCTAGCGAACTTTAACGGTGAACCTTCTCCAGCCAAACAAGAAAAGCTAGATGGAGGTAATACCTCCAAATGATGATTATGCAACCATATATATATATATATATATATAAGAAAAGAAATAAATGGGTGAGTGAGATTGTAGCTGAAATAGCTTGGATGGAAAATGTAAATATCAGCTTGCACAATAAAATAGGAATATCTAAGTGCAACATATTGTCAAATGGAAGAAATAAATAGTAGATGTGTCCTCTCCTATCTTTAAAAATAATTGTATGAAATTCTAAAATAAATAACCTTTAACTTGGAGTTCGAAGTATAATAATTTCTCTCCAAATTTATGCATACAAGAAGAAATAACCTAGAAAGTAGTGATGGGAGAAGAAGGATGACCATTGTGGGAGCTTATAAATGGAGGACTTGATCCCATTCTTGATGCTAACTTTGCAGCTTGATCTTTTGTTACTCAAGAAAATAACCGATAATCTAAAACTGTAGTATGTTGTCCCTCAACCATGGTGTTTTACAAGTTTGAAGAGAATTCTACAAGGTTGGAAGTGCAGAAAATATTCGAAAAATAAAGATTTATGGGGATTTCTAGTGTATTGGGGTAAGAGGATGAAGAGCTTTTTAGAGAAAGAATGGAGTCTAGTACGTGAAAGGTCTCTCCAAAATCTGAAATCTTTTGAAAACTGAAGGAAAAATCAATATTTATATATGTAATGGCATTTTGGTAATTTTGGGTTAATGGGTCAAAGTTACTTAGCAATCCAATGGGTAGATTTGGGTTAGGTGAGGCTAACTGTCAAGTTTTGAGTAGTTTTGGATACTATTGATATTTTTTTAAGTGATATTATGAGTTGTCCAGTGGTTCCAACAAAGAATTGCTGGTTCCAGTGAAGAACTGTTGGCTTGTTGGAGACTCTTTATTTCTGATAATTCTCTAACCATGTGAAATACCATTTTTGGAGGGGTGCTTGACTACTGTCGACAAAATCAATTTTGTCCAAGATTTTGGTAAATTTTCCAAGCAAAATGCAATCTTTTTCAACAGTTTCCAATGCAATGGAACTTATGTAGCCACCCATGCATTAAATATAGCTGCAACTTGCTAATGGAGAGTTAAACAACATCTCTAATTGATTTTTAATGAGATTCCAGGCCTTTTAGTTAGCATTAAATGGTGCAGTTTTGGGATTAAGTTTTGCCTCCATGTTTTTGCCACCCAACCCTTCTTGGCAAAGTCAAGCAACATCATCGACTCTAAGCTTGGCTGGTGCAAATACCTCGCTTCGCCAGACGGGTAATGCTTCTGCATCCATGCATACCAAGCCACTAGTCCCATAGTTTATCTTAAATAATCCCCATGAGCTTGGATTTATGGGTTCATTGATGACCTACATAAAAATATAGTGATCAATTGATGAAAATGATGAAATTTAATAAATATGGAAATAATAAAGGAACGAGACTTCCTTATCCATATCTGGCGATGTAGCCATGTAACGTACCAGTAGATACGGTTGGGCCTAGCCATGAATTATAGCACTAGATATTACTAAGCCTTTTGGTAAATGCACGTTGAAGACATTAATGGGTGCTTAGATCGATGCAAGTCTTGATAATGTGGAAACACTACCTAAGTCAAGTTTAACCTTTTACAAGAATGTGCATCAACAAATAGTATGTTGCATGGGACTCTTTTGGGATCTTAATCTCTTGGAAAATTGAATTCAAGTCAATTAAGGATTGTGAAAACGGCATAAGGTGCAAATTGTACCCAAAATTGTTGTGTTAAAGTAAATACCACGCTAGAAAATGTTGACGCAATTTTGCCATCTAAAATTTCTATTTTCTAGAAATCTACCTAAATTTGATAGTTTTTGCTAAATTTTGTTAAACAATTGCTCTTGAATTTTAACAGAAAGCTAATAGTAATAATTAAATTTGAGTCGATTTCTTGAAGATGAAAATTTGGGGTAATAAATTGCATCAATATTTTTTTAGGTGGGGATTTGCTTCAATGCAACTGTTGACGATCACCTAAAATTTCAAAAAATTTATACATATATATGAAAATATAATGAAAAATTAGATGTGAAAAATGAAAAGAAAGAAGTCGCCATTTGTCCAAATTATAAGGTGGGACAAGTCACTTAAAACATAATTTGCATAGAGATCGAGTTTTGAGGATATAGTTAGTAGTGAGAAAGGGCATAGGTGGCGCACCTCACAATCCTCCGTGTAAAAGCATGATTGCATATTTTAATATTTGAGAATTTATTCAACTTTTACTGTTTTTGATTTTTGATTAGTGGATTTTAAAAAGTAAATGGAAGAAATTGCAAAGTTTGAAAATACTTAGACCTAGCAAATGGGTGGGTTGGGTTAGGTTGGGTTAGAGTTGGGTTAAATGGTTTACGAGTCAGAATGGATTGGATTAAAATGGATCACGGGTCAATGATGGCTAACCCTAACCTGCCCATCACTGGTCACGAGTCAACCCAATTGAATTTTTTTCCCTTTTTTTTTTTTTTTGTAATTTGTACCTATTACCATTCAAAGAAAATTATTCAAAAGATTTAAAAATGAAATTCAACATCTTATAAAAAGATTTTTTTTCCCATTAATTTAATAAAACATATTTACAATTCTTTAGAGTCATCTTCTCCATTACCCTTCAAAGAACAATGCTTATCAAATTCAAGAACACCACACACTTGTAAATCTTGATAGCAAAAAAAAAAAAAAAGAAGCAACAATAGCATGACAACCAAAAAACACAAACCCCATTGGAACATATTTGTATTGGTCATTGTTTTCAAAGAATCAATCGATTGAATGCATCTGAGTAAGCAAAGGAAAAGATCAAGTAGAAATTTTACTTGGAATGGAAAGAAAACCAAAGAACATAAACAAGTAAACAACTTACCTTGAAGGCTTTAAAGAGAAAAGTTGGTGACAAAGAGAGCACTTGTCAAACTCGAAGGAGAAAGAAAGAAAAGGCTGAGTCAGTGTGACGATGACTCAGTGAGATTGAGATTTGAGTCCAAGATGACGTTAAAGACTAAAGAGAGAAGGTGGAGTCGAAGCTTGAAAGTTAAAGGTTGTGGGGATTGTGGAGGTTGAAGAATATGAGAAGAGTTTAAACTTTGAAACTTTGAAGAGTTAGAGTTTTAGAAGATATTACAACAAGTAAGAATAGAAAAGGTTAGGAAGTGAGTTGTGAGTGGAGTGAGATTATTTTTGCTTCTAGAAGATGATGAGCTAAGAGAATCAATTAGCCAATTAGGGAGAATTAGTCAATTATTAGAGGTTTAGGTGAGATTGGAAATTGGAAAACAAAATAAATAAATAATAAATTAAAAAATTTTAAATTTTTAGATGGGTAAACGGTTCAATCCCGTTAACCTAGTAAATCAACCTATTATTGACCCATGACCTATTGGGTTCTCTTAATAGGTCATTAATGGGTCATGCGTCATGAATATCTAACTCTAACCCGATTCAAATGGGTGGGTAATGGGTGGGTTAGCAAGTCAAGTAAAAAATTGCTAAGTCTAAAATTACTTGGACTAAATTGAAACCAAATCAAGAACATGCATACACAATTGCAACAAAATTAAAAGTAGAGGAACTGATTGGATTAATTTTGAAACATGGATGATTGACTTGAAAAGATTTAAAATTTCTAGACTAAATTGCTTGGTTTCAAAAAGTTTTGGACAAAATTAACATTGAAATAAAGATGATTGAATTTTTTTATTTTTTAACGTGATGACTCAAAATTAAATATAATTAAGTTTAATTGATTAACAATTAATTAAATAATTAATCAAATTAATTAATTTTTAGTTAGAATGATTAGATAAATCTAAATATTTTAATTAAAGACAGCTAAATCAACTAATTATTTTAATTAAGATTAACTAAGAGCAAACTACTTTTTATTTTTACGCCAAATTAAATATGGTTATATTTACATTTATTATTTTAATCAAGATTCCCTTTTTACTTCAATCCATAATTTCTAGGTTGAGTTAACCCAACCCATAAACACAATCCATTAACCGAAATGGGTTAAAATCAAACTTAAGTTCAATAATTGAGATTTTAGGGTTCTTTCCAGCATATTTCATCTCCAGCAAAATTTACTCGAACTTCAATCAAAATATAGTTTTTCAAAAGATTCAAAAGATTCAATGAAAACTTAATAGAAAATAAAATAAACATGCTTGATTATTATTTATTTTCCAACAAAATTCATACAACTTAACTACAAAATGTCAAAACTCATAGAAACCTAGCAGAACTTTTTGGGGAAAGGTAGATCCAGATCTAAAGGGAGGGATCCTGTTGACTCAATGTACTCCAAGAGGGGGGGTGAATTGGAGTTCTAAAAATTCTTCCCTTTTGCAACCACAACACCCAAATTAAAGAGAGTAGAGAAGAAGAGCTTGCTCAATGATTTATAGAGGTTCGGTCCAACCACTTGGAGCCTAGTCCTCTACCTTGGCTTCACTCACCAAGGATTTCCTCCACACTCTCCACTAACAACAATAAGGGTGGCTTAAAGGAGCCACTCAATCCTTTTACAACAAGATGAGTATTTCTCTCAAACCTTACCCTTTTACAATGTAAATTCCACAAATCCTCTCAATAGATCACTCTTGAAGGAATCAACACATCCCCAAGATCACTCACTAATAGCACAAGAAGAGGATTACAAGCAAAGATCTCTCAAAGATCAAAAACTCAAGTTAAAGCTCGTGTAGGTAGGTATTCAATACAATACTTTCTAAACTTCTTCAGATCTGTTACCAACCATATTTATAGCCCCTTGCTCGAAAATAGCTGTTTCTAGCCGTTGGGGGTCATTAAATGCTCTGCAGGACGCAAACCTCGAGCTGCAGAATTGTCAAAAGAGCCAGCTCTACACTTTCAGAGCCAGCTATCCAGGTTTGCAGCACATTCTGTTTTTCTCGAGAGCTGGCTGCAAAACTTTGAGTCGGCTTTGCAACTCCGACTTTAAATACATTAAATAATCTTCAAATGACTCGACCGTTGTGGATTAAATGCACCCTCACAGTAAGCTACAAAGCCAAAGCCAGCTTTGCGTCTTTTCTCCGTGTGTGCCAAACAACGATCTTCAAAAATTTTGCCTGTAGAGCCGGCTGCAGCTTCTAGAGCCGGCTCTCTGCACTTCCATTTCACCAGAGCTGGCTTCAGCTTTCAAGAGCCGGCTCTGTGCACATTTTGAATCATTTTGGTCTATTTTTAGTGTAATCCAAGTTTACTTGCAATCTTTTAACAACTTAACTACACACTTAAATAAACCAATTAATCACTCAAATGTGTTTTGTAATCATCAAAATCATAGGTACAACAATCTCCCCCTTTTTGATGATGACAAAACACTTTGAGAATTAATTAATGAAAACACATAAATACTTCAATATTAACCAGAATTTCAGCACAAGGTACTCTAGAAAATGACATTAAATTCAGCATATTCTCTCCCCTTTTTTGTCATTCATCAAAAAGCACATAATCAACAAACTCCCCCTTAATTCATGCACATCAATCTTTAAAGCATTTAAGCATGATAACCATTAAGAAAAATAATTTAAGCACAAAATGCTCCCCCTTAATTCATGCTATCAACCTTTAAAACATCAAGAATATATAATAAATATAATCATCAATCATCATCAATATAGCACCATAGACAACCAAAGTCATGAATACAATCATCAACCAATAAACTCCCCCTCAATAAGAGCATATAATCATCAAAATCATAGACAATCAATACCAAAAGTCATAAACTGCATGAGAGCCGGCTCTAGTCCTGGAGCCGGCTTAATTCTAGAGAAAGAAGCCCGAATATTCAAAGAGCTACGAAGAGCCGGCTCTAGTCCTGGAGCTGGCTTAACTCTAGAGAGAGAAGACTCTCGGGTTTTTTGGTGGAGCCGGCTGTGAAAAAGCTTGAGCCGGCTCTACTGGCCTTGATTGGGACAAACAGAAAGTTTGGGGCTGTTTTGAAGGGAATGCACCTTAATTTGATATTTCTTCATTTAATTAAGTTTAAATTGGACAACCACTACTAAATAATGCAACTTTAGTCATATATCAATGTATGCATCATCAAATATCATGAATATAATCAAGGTACACATATCAATATGCACAATTTCTAATAAGCATATTCATTAATTTCAAGCACTAGGATCTAACATACCAAGCTCATTTCTAATGAAGAAAAACCTATCACGATCAAGAGGCTTTGTGAAAATATCAGCTAATTGATTTTTAAGTGTCCACAAATAATAAATCAACATCACAATTAGCAACATGATCCCTAGTAAAATGGTGCCTAATTTCTATGTGCTTGGTGCGAGAATGTTGGATGGGATTTTTAGTGAGACTGATAGCACTAGTATTGTCACATTTAATAGGAATATGATCCATAGTAATGCCAAAATCCAAAATTTGTTGTTTCATCCACAACACTTGAGCGCAACAACTTGCGGCGGCTATGTATTCGGCCTCGGTTGTAGATAGAGCAACACTATTTTGCTTTTTGGAAAACCATGATATGAGCATATTACCAAAAAATTGACAAGTTCCACTTGTACTTTTTTTATCAATCCTACAACCTGCATAGTCCGCATCCGAATATGAATGTAAGTCTAAGGAAGAACCCTTAGGATACCATAAACCAAGGTTGGGAGTATCCTTTAGGTACCTAAAGACTCTTTTAACCGCAATTAAGTGTGACTCCTTAGGACAAGCTTGAAATCTAGCACACAAATAAACACTAAACATTATATCCGTTCTACTTGCGGTTAAATAAAGCAAGGAACCAATCATGCTTCTATAAAGTTTGGGATCAATAGGCTTACCTCCTTCATCCTTGTCTAGATTAATTGAA